CTGGAAAACTGTCTGACACCTCAGGAGGGGGAAGCAGGGAACCATCCAAGCTGTGTACAGTAAGGATGGGACGTTGTTGACCTCAACTGATGGAGTGTTAGGGCGTTGGAAGGAACACTTTGAGGAACTCCTGAACCCGACAACTCCGCCCTCTATGTTAGAGGCAGAGCTGGAGTATGACGGGGGATGAACACCAATCTCCCGGGGGGAGGTCATTGAGGTCGTCAAACAACTCCACAGTGGCAAAGCCCCGGGGGTGGATGAGATCCGCCCAGAAATGCTGAAGGCTCTGGGTGTTGAGGGACTGTCATGGTTGACACGTCTCATCAACATTGCGTGGAAGTCGGAAACAGTACCGAAGGAGTGGCAGACCGGGATGGTGGTTCCCCTTTTTAAAAAGGGGGATCAGAGGGTGTGTGCCAATTACAGAGGCATCACACTACTCAGCCTCCCCGGGAAAGTTTACTCTAAGGTACTAGAAAGGAGGGTCAGGCCGATTGTCGAACCTCAGATTGAGGAGGAACAATGCGGATTCCGTCCTGGTCGTGGAACGACGGATCAGCTTTTTACTCTCGCAAGGATCCTGGAGGGGGCTTGGGAGTACGCTTATCCGGTCTACATGTATTTTGTAGACTTGGAGAAGGCGTATGACCGAGTTCCCAGGGAGTTACTGTGGGAGGTGCTGCGGGAGTATGGGGTGAGGGGGTCTCTACTCAGGGCCATCCAATCTCTGTACTCCCAAAGCTAGAGCTGTGTCCGGGTCCTCGGCAGTAAGTCGGACCCATTTCCGGTGAGGGTTGGCCTCCGCCAGGGCTGCGCTTTGTCACCAATCCTGTTTGTAATATACATGGATCGGATTTTGAGGCGTAGTCATGGGGGAGGGGGTCTGCAGTTCGGTGGACTAAGGATTGCACCACTGCTTTTTGCAGATGATGTGGTTCTTATGGTATCATCGGTCTGCGACCTTCAGCACTCACTGGATCGGTTCGCAACCGAGTGTGAATTGGCTGGGATGAGGATCAGCACCTCCAAATCTGAGGCCATGGTTCTCAGCAGGAAACCGATGGACTGTCCACTCCAAGTAGGGAATGAGTCCTTACCCCAAGTGAAGGAGTTCAAGTATCTCGGGGTCTTGTTCTCGAGTGAGGGAACAATGGAGCGTGAGATGGGCCGGAGAATCGGAGCAGCGGGAGCGGTTCTGCAGTCGCTTTACCGCACCGTTGTGACGAAAAGGGAGCTGAGCCAGAAGGCAAAGCTCTCTGTCTACCGGGCCATTTTCGTTCCTACCCTCACCTATGGTCATGAAGGATGGGTCATGACCGAAAGAACGAGATTGCGGATACAAGCGGCCGAGATGGGTTTTCTCCGCAGGGTGGCTGGTGTCTCCCTTACGGCCCGTCTACACTACAGGCGTCAAAAAATGCTTTCAACGCTTCGCCCATTCATTTGAATGGGGTGACGTAGGATATTTTCAAACTTCGCCGAACTGCATTGTGGGTAGCATGGCAAGGCGTTGCAAGCATCGCGAGCGTCTATCGGCGTCAAAAGTTGCAACTTTTGAGGCTCGATGCTTGCTCGAAGCTGGCGTCAGCCAATCAAATCCCGTTTTTGCAATTCCCGCCAGTACAAGCGCTAGCCAATCAAACCGCGTGCAAGCTGGGAGAGCCAGACCGCAGTTAATTTCCTCATATTCCAAACGAGAAATTACGGTAGCAAATCACCCGGTTCTTTCCGACCAGAACTATTTACCGGGATACAAACCGGTGGAACCAGGCATGGAGGGAGGTGGCAGAGACAGTGGGTGAAACTGGTAGGTTTTCGCCTGTTTGGGGAGTTTATATCCAGTTTACTTCGTTTTAACATTGCTATTGCTTTGTATGTCGGGGGCGGGAGATTCATGTGATTGGTTGTTGGTCGCGTTGCTCGCAAAAAATCGCCAAGCTTCAGACACGCCCAGCTTCAAGATTTTTGTATGCCTGTAGTGTAGATGGGCCGTTAGGGATAAGGTGAGAAGTTCGGTCATCCGGGAGGGACTTGGAGGTGGTTCGGGCACCTAGTTAGGATGCCACCTGGGCGCCTCCCTAGGGAGGTGTTCCAGGCACGTCCAGCTGGGAAGAGACCACGGGGTAGACCTAGGACCAGGTGGAGGGATTATATCTCTTCGCTGGCCTGGGAGCGCCTTGGGATCCCCCAGTCAGAGCTGGTTGATGTCGCCAGGGAAAATACAGTTTGGGGCTCTCTGCTGGAACTGCTACCCCCGCGACCCGACCACGGATAAGCGGGAGGAGATGGATGGATGGATGGATTTTTAAAATAATCTTCCCGGGGGAGCATGCCCCCAGACCCTCCTAGGGGAGGTTAGGTCCACCCCCACCTAAAACATGTTCACATGGATAGGATACTAAATACATTTGCACACTTTTTATATGGTGGCCTATGTCCATATGTTTCTGTTTTGGTGGTCGTGCCACAACCGTGCATGTATGCACAAGTCATAGCTGCGCTATACAATAGCACTACACCCCTGCAATGTGTGTGAAAGACAATAAACTTTACAGCATGTTTTTTAAATTGAAGTTGCGTTGGTGTTTGTGTGTTGGTTGTTGACGGCAGTGTGTGCCCCCCCTTGGTAAATGATTGCCCCCCCATTTGATTTGTTCTAGAGCCGACCCTGCAAAAGAACGCCGATGCTAATGTAGCGTTAGCATTTCTCCCCCGGGCTTAAATGGTGTATTATAGAATGATCACACCGGTGTGACAGTACTCTTCAAAGGGTTCACGAAATGTGACTACTACTCTTACTGTTTAACATTCTGGGTTACTTAATGTTACTTCATGTTAAGGCTAATAAAAATGACAAGGCTAAGGCTGTAAAGCTAACTAACGTGCTTGCTACTAGCTAAGTAGCTAACTTGATCCAGCCACTCCTGGTCCTTTCATCAAACGGGAAGCGAAAGAACGAGCAAGACCCATTGCTGGTATGATGACAACCTGGTAAGCACACAGGCATCTTGTTAAAGTTATCTTATCTTAGCTATCTCTTATATTTAGCGGAGGAAAACAATTGTAACATCAGTTATGACATCTTTTACGCAACTCTGGGATTTGTAGTCTTTCTAGTTGCGTATTTTTCATAGTCACAGTCACAGTTTGTCGTAAAACTGTTGAAATATATTTCAACAGTTTTACGACAAACTGTGACTTTTTTGACATGGAAATGATTTTTTAAGATTGACAAACATCATAGGCCTATGTGTAATTCGTGGCACAATTCAAACGGGATCGAAAGATAAGTGTTCTCTCTCCATTGACTTCAATACATAATTTTTCCAAAATAACGTCCCATGGACCGGAAGTAGATGGGCGTGACTTCACCACTCTATAAACTGTTATTGCTCAGGTTGAAAGGGGGCATGTGAGAAGCACTGGCTATAGGGCAGTGACCACCAACTGGCGGCCCGCGGGCCACATCCGGCCCGCCAGACATTCTCATCCGGCCCGCACGACGGGGGTGACTGCGGCGTGGTTACTGCGTTCGCAGTAGCCACTGTGTGCAGTACCGGAGTCCAACAGAGAGGCAGCAGCTGCGGGACAGTAGACTGCGTACTGCAAAACCTTCCCTGCCTTGAAGAAGAAGTGATCCTTCGTTGTGAAGAGTCTGGTTTGTGCGCTCCGCACCTCAGCAGCAGCCCTGCTGCGACAGAGTCCAACAGAGAGGCAGGAGCTGCGGGACAGTAGCCTAGAAGCAGGGTTGGGTTGTAACGGAATACATGTAACCGCGTTACGTAATCAGAATACAAAAATCAAGTAGGCTAACTGTATTCAGCTGGCGTTACATTTGAAAAACGAGTAATCTGATTACAGTTACTTTCGTAAACCTGAAGTGAATACATTTTGGAATACTTATTGGAATTATTGGTGGAAAAATGTCCTCACAAAATGTAATAGAGCTGTGTGCACACTGCACGGCGCTGCAGCATGTCTGTGAGCGAGAGAGAGATGCATGCAGCGTGTCTGTGAGGCCCCGCCCCCGCACGCAGATGAGAGAGAGATCTCTTTTAAAATATATTGAAAGTTAGAAACGGAGATGGTTCGATAAAATGTGCAAGATAACGTTTATGTAGCATTTCTTTATTGTCTAAATGATGACATTTCATAACGGGATCAAATCAAAGTGAATGGCCTGCTGCTGCTGAATGCATGGGGCAAGTGACTGGAAAAAGTTTTAAAAGTTATAACATTGTTTCAGATAATACATAATAATGAGAATTCATTATATTTAGGCGCGCCTTTCAAAGCACCCAAGGACACCTTACAATTCATAACATATTCTAAGGAAAGGTTTTAATAACAGTACAAAGAATGCAGTCCGGGGGATGTTTTTTATGTGTGGTGCAGGTGAGAGGGAGCTGTCCAGAATGACACCAAGATGTTGTGTCAGTAAACAGTAAAATACGTGTCTCCTGTTCACCAAAACATACCCATCTGTTATGGGAAAATAAAGTATTCCAAAAGTATTCTAATAGTTATCTGAATACGTTAAAGTAGACCCGATTCCAACGTTTAAGACACGTAACTGTATTCTGATTACTTTCAGAGCCATGTATTCAGTATTTAGTAACTGTTTACAGAACACTCAATACCCCCCCCCCCCCCCCCCGGTCTACAACTTCAAAATTCTGGACTATATAAAAATCGCTGGCCCGCGATAGTGTCTATTGGATACATTTTGGCCCTTGGACAAATGTAGTTGGTGATCCCTGCGGGGATTCTGGTATTGGTTCTAAACTGACAATCCTTTACATTTACAGAAACACTTTATTATTTGAGCCTAACAGAATAACATTAGTTGGCCTAAAGAGGACCTAAGGCACGCAGAATAAATACTATCTTGTAGAGTCGACTGAATCATAAATAATTAAAATCATGAATAACATATAGTTATTGAGAGTGAAGCTCATTATTATGAGGAAGACCATGTGATGTGATGGAAAGCTCAGGGAGAAGGCAGTACATTGACCATGAGTTAATAATATATTTTCAAGTAATAATAGGATTTATAAAATGTTAATATTCTGCTAATGAGAATGTACACCCGCCATCCAAACCTTAGGCATTCACGACTTTTATTTTGAAAGTCCGCCCAGGAAGCCCCGTCTGTTGTAGTTCTTCACGCCTGTGTGAATCCTACAGCTCTGTGTTTATAAATCCATCTGAGTGACATCAGCAGGGAGAAGGTTTGGCCAGACTCCCGTTTCTCTGCAGGATAAAAGCACGAGGAGCAGCCTGGAGGCTCTGTTCTCCTCCTGCAGGAGCTCCATGCTGCTCGGCATCTAACTGCCCATCTCCTGCCCGAGGAACAGCGCCGGATCCGGACAAAGGCTGAAGGAAGGGAAGGAGGCTGAGCGGCTCTCCTGCGTTATGTTGGGCAACAGAAAGAAGGCAGCCTCGGGGGGGAGGGACGGGGCCGGGACGTCCGAGGCTAAGGCCATCGACCCGCTGAGAAACCTGGGTGAGTCCCGCTGTAAACTGAATGTGTTCATTCGCTGGGACACAGTTATACCGATATATGGTGAGGGACCTCATCATCCGACCTACCAATACCTGCCGTTATCTTCACCCCTCACACTGGGATGAGCAGGGAATATTTGAAATACACTTTGAGATTAAAGCATCATAATATCATTATTAATAATGATAATGATAATAATAAAATATGAATAATGCATTACAAAATAAAAATCATAATAGGAAACGCTATTTAAATAGCACAACATAACAGATGATTAGAGCATTTACGATAAACCTTTAAAAAAAAGACAATCAAAGGAAATAACGTAGAAGGAAAAAAGCTAAATAAGACAAGTCAAAGCCACCTTTAGAGAGAACGCTATGGTAAGCTTCTGATTTGCAGAACACTGTTGCAGAGTGAGGTGGAGTAGTGTAGTGTGGTTTTGACCTCAGGAAAAACCAAACGGTTAGAGTTTTGGAGTGTTTGCAAACTGAAACATGGCACATATCTCATGGGGCTGCTCTGTGATAAAAAAACAAAAACACATTCAATTGTTTTAAAGGGGACCTATCATGCCAAATGCACTCTTGTTGTACGTCTTTTATACATGAATATGTGTCCCCGGTGTGTCAGGGAACTCACCAAGTGTCAGAAAATACAACCTTCTCTCTTTTCCTCTATAGCCTACCCAAATCTCTAAAAACGGGGCTGCAACGGATCTGATACAGACTGATACAGATTTGAATTATTTTCTACATCACAAAAGGGGTGCTCCGCTTAGTGGTCAATTCTCCACCTATCAGGGGAATGAGAGGTTGGGCCACGGCCGGCCATTGCCGCTCGAAAGCGCTGGATACGCTGTAGTACATATGCCAGTCTTGTAAGTGGCGCTGTAGTCTGCCACAAAAGCAGGGAAGAAGACTTCCCTTGCATGGTTGCCATGGTTGCCCTTCTGTTTTTATTCTCCGCTGTGGCTCTTTTTCTCCCTCCCCGAGGCAAGCGTTTGCACCTCCTGCTTTAAAACAAATGAATAATGACTCTATATAATCATAAGTAAGGGATAATGTGCAGCGACGCGGTCATTATGGGGAAAAGAACACCGACAGGCTGATCAGGAGCCCGACTCGAAGCGGAGGGATCTAGATCGGCATGAAGGTGTTATTTTCTAGGGATTTGTCACCACTAATGACAAATCCCAAGTCGCTGCACATTATCCCCCTTATTACACGGCCACATTCTCAACAAAGTAACGATATGACTCCCAATATTAATTTAAATGCTTTTATGGATTTAGAAAATGATTTTATTGATTTAAAAAATAGTTGTATTGATTTAAATTGACATGCATTCGCTAAAAAAAATAGTCCGTTGTTACTGTTTGAACTACGAAGCAAAGGCAGGAACTGCTTCGATAGCGTTTTTAAGGAGCTTTTTGATTACATATTTGAAAACATCGTTGCTTGCTTTAAAAGTAGCACAATTCATGATGTCAAACCTTGGAAAGTATCTAGATATCCCTGCCCTAATGCCAAAGGAACTGCCAACTGAATATGTGTCGCCGTTTGATGTCTATGTCTGGACCGCTGCGTAAAAAGGAGGGTTTCTGCCCCATTACTTCTCTTCTTACTTCTATAAGAATAAAACACGGAGGACGGAGATCTCTTTTCTCCCCCTCTTCTGACAGCCCAGCAGCTGATCTCAAAGCACGCTCCCCTCTCCTGCAGGGGGGCGTGGTCAGCTGCAGCTCACAGAATCAGCCCCCTGTAAAAACAGCGCTGGAAAGAGCAAATAAAGCGAAATGAGGCATGGCTAAAATGCAGGATCTGTTTAGTATTTTGAAAAAAAAACTATATTTATATACTTTATATAGGTATGGCCCTACAATATATTGTTCAAATATAGCATGATATGTCCCCTTTAAGTGATGTTAAATTATATATATATAATAAAAGTTGAGCTTGGACTATAGTGTCTGTGGTGAACAATAGCATCTACAGCTATTCTGTATATTGAAGAAGGTCTGTTAATGTTATATCATGTTTACAACATGTATTGTAGGATGTAACCCTAACACATGCATTAAGCAAGCAGGTATGATATAAATAGAAACTTTAAAATCACAAAATCCAAAAAGGGAAGAGTGCCTCTCTAAGTCTGAGGACCCTGGATCATTTCATTTATCTGCAGCAGTGTATGGCTTACTCTGGTGAAAATGTACTGCAGACTTCTGAGCAACCATGGTACAGGACTGAGAATCATCTCTCAGAAGCTCATGATGTTGTTGCTCAGGTAACCCTCACAGAGAGACCTGCTGTGTGTGTGTCCAGACAGATTTCAAACTTTTGTGTCCCACATGAGAAAAAGTAAACATTTACCAGCTGATCAAGCAAATGTTCTCCACAACCAGAGGGTATATCTAGAGCAGGGGTCACCAACCTTTTTTAGGATGAGGGCTACTTTAAAAAAATAAAACAAGTCGGGGGCTACTTTTACTCCTCTTTTTTTAGTTTTTTGCAGTGTATATATTTATCACATTTTAACATTATTATATGCTTACCTTTAACCTTTGTGTGCTGTTTGGGTCTGTGGGACCCGTTTTCAGTGTTTACTAAAAGAAAATGTATGCAATTTAATTATTTTAACCTGCTTTATTGGGGGGTGGGCCTCACATCCTCTAGGGGGGCCTCACATCCTCTAGGGGGGTCCTCACATCTTCTAGGGGGGTCCTCACCTCCTCTAGGGGGGTCCGGGGGCATGCACCCCCGGGAAGATGTTTTTTAAAATGTTGAAGTGAAATGCATCAATCTGGTGCACTTTGAGCACAAAATGAATTTATGGATACAGCTCTCAACTCTCAGATGAAAGGGAGATGTATACTTTTCAATACTCCAATCATCTTTAGAATATCATCACAACCAATAACACATCATTTAAACTTGTTTATTCTTATCTTATGTTACCTAGTAGTTAGCATTCTTTCTTTTTATTTATGCATATTTTACTAATCATTCCCCTTTAAACTGTTTTTTGTACTGTCCTATAGTACACATTGGAATGATTTCTTACTTTATCTATATTACATAGATAAAAGTGTGCTCTCTCGCTCTCTCTCTCTCCCTCCCTCCCTCGCTCGCTCTCTCTCTCTCCCTCTGTATCACTCGCTCACAGAGACTGTGTGCTCCTCCGTGGCGAGGACGGCTTGCGTTAAAAAATAATAAACATATTTGTAAAGTGGGGGGACACAAACGCGATTTCGAAAAGTGCGGGGGACATGTCCCCCCCCCCTGTCCCCAGTGGAGATTACGCCATGCGTGTGTGTGCGTCAAGTGGAATAAATATATATGCAGGTTGCAACACACAGAGTAAAACTCTGACCCTCATGTGTTGTATAGGCTGGCCCGATAGGCTGTTCAATGGGGCTGATGTGTTGTGTTGATTCTGCCAGAAGGAAAATCAGCGGGGAGGTGCCACATTGCTTTTCTTCCCGACTGCAACGCTGGTCCCGCAAATCAAGCAAGAACGTGATTGGTCGATATTCATTGTGGGGTGGGGGAGGAGGGGCGTTAGATATAGAGTTGTAGTAAGTAGATAGAGTTCGCTATGATTTATGTGTCGTTTATGCATAGGGTAGATTCTTTTAATTACATTTCCTTTTTTGTCTTGTGTATTTTATACATTTTGGATTTGCTTGGCGAGCTATTTTTAGAACATGCCCGGCGGGCGACTCACGTTGCCCCTGCGGGCGACTGAGTGCCCGCGGGCACCATGTTGGCTACCCCTGATCTAGAGTCACATGTTTCCAGCTGCTGTGTTCACTGCTCTCCTCCTCATGCTGTGTGGGGCTTGCTCAGTATGTTAGCAGCTGGGATCTTCTCTTCTCTACACTGTACTCTTCTGCCTAGTTGAACTGCAATATGTGCAGTTATAGACAGTTCTACAAGTTTCGTGCATTTTCCTTTTCGTGCATTGTTTCAATCCTGTAATCCAAGGCTGAATATTAGGGGTGTAACGGTTCACAAACATTTCGGTTCGGTACGTACCTCGGTTTTTAGGTCACGGTTCTGTACGGTACGTTTTCGGTACAGCAGAAAAAATTATCACAAAACATCAAATATATATATATTTTTAATTATTATTAAACTGTGAATAATGTATTCACTCAAATAAATACAAAATATAATAAAATAAACATTAAGGTGCAGCATTTCGATGAACTGAAATAATCTGTATTTGAACTTTACTGTACTAGTACTCACAAAACATAAACTATTAGTTTTGGGTTTTTAATTATTATTAAACTGTGAATATTCACTCAAATAAATACAAAATATAATAAAATAAACATTAAGGTGCAGCATTTCGATGAACTGAAACAATCTGTATTTGAACTGTACTGTACTGCACCTAAGCAGCCAGTTTGACATTAGGACTTGCTTGTCATTGTATTTTCATGTTTTTTTAAAGAAAGATGAACTTGTCCACATTGCTTGCTGAAAGGGCAGATCTGCTGGCACTAACAATGTCTCCTGCTGTGGAGAACACCCTATCTCTAGGGACAGAGGTAGCAGATACAGCCAGGTAGCGCTTTGCTAACATGGCAACATAAGGATATTTGGCGTTTGTAATAGCTTTGGCTCGGTCTGAACTCTCTGCGAGTGGTGGAGGCTTGAATGCTAGTGGGAGTTGGGTTTGCACTTCAGTCTTTTTTCTTTTGGTACCGGTGATATTCACGTTCGGGTGATGCCTTTTCAAGAGTGTGCAAGTTTAATGTATTGCCAGCCGCGTAACCAATTTTAGTTGAACAATGCCGACAAACAGCTTTGGTTCGGTCCACCTGTCTTTGTCCGTCATCCTTGTACGTAACTGTGAAACCAAAATGTTCCCAAACCGGAGACTTCAATGATGCTGGAGGATTTTCGCCATTTCGACAGTTCCTCAAATTACTGACTACATTTTAACTCATCCCTCTGACCAGCTCTCATAGTATGCCTCTCGTCCAA